TCCCAAATTTTAAATTTTAAATAATTAACATTAATGCCTTGATTTCAGGAAATGAGACAATTTGCCACACTGGGCCTGGTATGCTGGAGTTGAGTAGTGGTTCCTTCTTGGAAGTAGTATAATTTTCTGACTTGCCACAGACTCCAGTGCTCTTTTAGGGTTTTTTTATTAGTTCTTTGAGAATTTCATGCAGTGTGTTTTAATCATAATCACCCTCCCCCACAATTCTTCCCAGATCTACCTCTTGTTCCGTACACACCCAATTTTGTGTCTTTTTACACATCAAGTCCATTTCTTTTGCTTCCCAAATATTTGTAGATGTGCAGCCTTCCTCTGGAATATGGTCAACTTATCAGGGCCTATACTCTTAGGAAAGACTGATCCTTCATCTCCTAGCAACTGACATTTGTGATCAGCTCCTCATTGACGAGTGGGGTTTCACACCCAACTCCCTTCTCCATGTTGGAATTTGGTATGTCCAGATCTTGTGTGTGATGTCACAATCATTGTGAATTCATATGTGCAGCTGCCCTGCTTTGTCAGGAGGACACTTGGCCCTTCCCCTCTTTTCATCCCCTCTTCTGTAATGATTAGATTAGAGATGATGAAAGTCATTTCATAAAGCAAGAAATAACATTGAATGGTATCATAGTGGTTTAGAGAATGTGTGCGTATCTAAAGGGATCAGCCACATGTTCCAGGCCAATATACCCTATTTGTATGACCTCTTTGGTCCTCAAAGCATTTTAATTTATTTCTTCAAATCTAAACCATCAAAGAGAGTTGTTATCTTCTACAGTGGAGAGTATAACCTCCTTCAAATACTCATTCTTTTGTTTTAATCTTGTATTAAGTTCTTTGACATTTTCATACATGTTTGTACTGCTCTCTGGACAGTCTTTTGTCTCTTATGCCTGTCATCTTCCTCCATCCACTCCACATGCCAGTCCCTTTCCCAAATTGATGACTCAATTGGGTTTGCTTTATGGCCTACTTAGTTAAAAAGGGCTATCTGTGTAACCATTACACTGGAACTCTCTATTGGAGCTTGGTGGGGTCACTAGTGGGTATACAACTGTTGACCATGACTCCCCCTCTCCCTAAATCTGTCAGTAGCAAATAGTTGATCAATGACAGATAGGGCCCCTTGAGCCCCTTCTCCCTTTTTATCTGACAGTGACAGCCTCATTCTTGAGCAGACCCCGTGCAGACAGATGTTCCCAGTTGTTATGCGTTTGTGATGGCAATAGCTATTTCTTGTCCAGAAGATAGCATTTCACAGCCCCTTTCCCTGTCTTCTGACTCTTCCAGTCTTTCCACTCCTCTTCCACAATAGTCCTTGAGCCTTAGCAGGATGGTATTGATGTTTTGTTTAGGGCTCAGCCTGTAACAGTCATTTCTTCTCAGCACATCTTGTGGTCATAGGTCTCTGCATTCATGCACATTCTCTGAAAAGAAAGGCTTCTCTGCTTAAGGCTAAGAGTAGTATTTGTCTATCGATATAAGTATAAATAAAGTTATGTTGGTTTAGCTAAACATCTTATTTTTAATTTTGATGCTGAAGTTGTATCCATTTGTTCTAGTCCTCATGGAATAGATAGAAATAGTACTGTAAACTTGTACATACTTTGCTGTTTACCATGTTGTTGGGGATTCACTCTTCTTATTAATCTGCAATTTGAGCTGTGACTTATACTTCTTTTTTTAAAATTAAATTTATTGTAAAGAACTTGAAAATAAATCATGCAGTGAGATTAGCCAGACCATATATATATATATGAAGAAATTTCTATATTTTGTACTTTTTTTGTACATAAATTATACTTCCCAGTGTATCATTGCTTTCTACCACTTTTTTCATCTGTCATTTTGAATATCATTCATTACTTCTGTGTATAAAATCTCGTTACATTTCTCAGGCTGGCTTCAAACTCTTGAGCTCAAATGATCCTCTCACCCCAACCTCCCAAGTACCTAGGATTATATAGCCCTAGGCCACGGTGATCAGCTGTCCTCATTCTTTTTAGCTGCTGGGTGGTGGTTAAGGCAGGAACTTATAACTAGTCAAAGTACAGAGAATAAGTGCCTTTGGAGTGCTCAGCCACATATGGCACATCTATGTCACCACCTTCTCAAGGTTCAGGGACGATAGCAGAAGGATGATAAGATCCAGAGGTTGGGGAAGAACAGAGCAAATGAGTGATGAATCATGTCAGATTTGCTGCACTCATGAACTTAAAGCAGCTGTGGATGCCTGTACAAGATCAAGTACGCCAGCATTCTATCATGGAGGGGCAAGGAGTTCATTAGGACCCCCCCCCCCACACACACACCTTTGGTGCTATGGACAGTTGATTGCTTCTAGAGGAGGGAAAATCTGTTTTCTTTAAAGTTGTGACTCCTGGTAAGACTATCTCTCCAGTGGATGGCCCCACACCCAGAAGTACGGGAGTCAAATTGGGGTCAAATGGGTTATTAAATTTAAAAGTAAAAAAGAAGACATATAGTGGGGGTATGGAAAAGTTGGGGGGACTACTAGTGGGGGATAAATATAATCAAAATACATTGTATGACATTCTCAACGAATAAAATCTTTTTAAATGAGATAAAACAAAAATGTGTGCATTTAAAAAAGGTTCTACATGGAAAAATGTATATAGCTTGGGTGTAGCTCAATGATAGAGACCTTTCCTAGTGTGGATGAAGCTCTAGGATCCATCCCTTGGGCCGAAAACAAAGTGTGTCCTAAAAGGAGAGATAGCACTTGCAAATGAATCTCCCCAGGTTTCACTGGAAGACAGTGGAAGGTAAATATAGTAGGGAGAGTAGGAAGCTCCTTCAGAGAAATAGAAGTAAGTTCAGCTTAAAATCCTCCCATAGACGCTGCTGTTTCCCAAGAGGAATTTTCAGAAGCAGGCAGTAAGATGCAGTGGAATATGCTTACACTTGAACACCAACAAATTCAGGTTTGCATCACCTGCCTTTCCAAACTGACATTACTGACCACTTTACCCTGGGTGCTTCAGCTCAGACCTCAGAATAAAATACCCCTCATTTTGCAGTTGTGAATATTCAGCAAACTGCTATGGTATTGAACAAACCTCAGGTCCCTTCAAGGCTCACAAAAGGAGATGAAGGCGCTTGCCTAGTCCGTAGTGGTTTAACCATTCCAGATCACTTGGTGGCAGCATGGAGATTCTTTTCTATTTTAATAACTGAACAAATTCTGTCACTAAAGAATAAAGGTTAATTGCAGAGGCATTTAAACTGTTGAAAGGGACTGATCAGCAGCCAGAAATATCAAAGGCCTGAATGCTGGCAGCTCATTACCATCTGAATGGCACCCAGCCTTTGTTAAGGGCTTAAGAGACTTTATTATAAAGATTGGTCTAAGGATTCTGTCCCCCTTAATTACCCACTTAATGTCAAGAACTTGCTTGTTGATGGGTCAGTCTCTCAGGGCCTTTGGCTTAGGTGGGTTTGAGTATTTGTATTTTGAGTGGGCAGCTGGCCTGCCCCTTATTCTAACCTCTACACCCCCACAGCCAAACTGGCCAAAGGGCTGCATGCCTTTCACTTGCCTGCCTCTAGTAGTTTAAAAGAGCTTTAGTGGAGTTCAGTTCCTATAAAAATAATTAATTAGTAACTGTTGTGTGCCAGGAACACAGTTGGAAGATGTTTACCACCTAGTAGAAGAAGCAGATAATTAAACTGAAAGTTGCAATGTATTCTCCTTGCCAGTATTATTAGTTAAGATGAGGACAGTACCAAATGGTCAGACCTGAAATCACATATACACAAAGCAACACTAAACGGACTCCGCAGGTTGTATTTATGTATTTGTGTATATGTTTATACATAGCAAGAATAATCAAAGAAAAAGAGGACATGAAATTGAAAGGTGGTAAGCAGGGTATGGGAGGAAAGGAGAGAGGGAAATGGTATAATTGTATTTTAATTGAAAAGACATTTTGAAGAAATCAGGAGAGAGGGAGACCAGGAATCCATTGTCTTCCTCACACCCAGAAAGAAGGCTGTCTTTACTTCTAAATTTTACTTCTTCATTTTCAGATGAGACTCCAGTGAGATGCAGCCACCTGGAAGGAGATAGATGTCTCCTTAAGCAAATCAAGACCAGATATGGGGGATAGGGGACATTTAAGGGAAAGGGTTGGCATAAGAGAAAGCTAGGAAATTCTGTCTGCAATAACCATAGTGTAGCCAGAAAACGCTAATCTAAGCAGTTCAGTGCAACACTTGTCAAAGGTTAGCAGTGCCTATAATGGAGGTTCTTAGAAAGATAACAAATTGCAGAAGAACTGTCCTCTCTAAAGGCTTTTTGCCTTCTCCTATAAGCGGTGGGTAGCCAGTGGTAAGAATTTACAGAGTAGAGATCTGACAATCAGATTGCAAGAGCTACTCCCTAGCTCAGCAATTGTCACTCCATGAATTTGCTTTTTCAGTCTTCTTTGTTTTGCAAAAGATGAAGATGGTCAAGGGACAGTCAACACTAGTATCCTTTTGGCCCTTTCAGGTTTCTGTTTTTTTAACTGTGGGACTAGAATGGCCACATTCCTCACTAGAATGACTAGTAGGCACCCTTTCCACTGTTGTTTTTTAAGAACAAAATGGAGTGCTAGGAAAGCCCTCCACCTCTGGGTTGTACTCCTAATCTACCTGCTGTCCCCCTTGCCTTGCACACACTCAGGCCTTTCTCCTGCCTCCCGACACCCTTTACTACCTCCACATCTGTCTCGTAACTCCTTCAGGGTTGCTAACTCAGGTCCTTCTCTCTCACTTTGGCTCCTATTCATGTACTATCTTGTGTGGAATGGCTACCCACTATACTAGTCTTTTTCCATTGTGTTTTTTTCTTTCATGTATGGTTTAGGCCTCTTCTTTTTCTATTTTTTGGTGTCTCTTACCTCCTTTAGCACGTAGCATAGTCCTAGTTACTAGAAAAATGAATCTTTTTCATTGTTTTCTTTTTCTTCTGGCAGTGTGTGTGAGCACAGCAAAGAGAATCTTATGACACCTTCCAATATGGGGGTGATCTTTGGGCCCACCCTGATGAGAGCTCAAGAGGACACTGTGGCTGCTATGATGAACATCAAATTCCAGAACATTGTGGTAGAAATCCTGATTGAACACTTTGGCAAGGTAATCATTTCCTATCTTTAATATCTCCCCTCCAAAGAAGTGACATCTGTCTTGTCTCCCTTAACTGTGTTTGTCTATCTGCCTGCCTCCATCCCTCCTTTTCTCTCTCCTTTCTTTCTTTCTTTCTTTCTTTCTTTCTTTCTTTCTTTCTTTCTTTCTTTCTTTCTGTCTTTCTTTCTTTCTTTCTGTCTTTCTGTCTGTCTTTCTTTCTTTTTCTTTCTTTCTTTCTTTCTTTCTTTCTTTCTTTCTTTCTTTCTGTCTGTCTGTCTGTCTGTCTTTCTTTCTTTCTTTCTTTCTTTCTTTCTTTCTTTCTTTCTTTCTTTCTTTCTTTCTTTCTTTCTTTTTCTTCCCCCTCTCTCTTTCTTCTTCTTTCTTTTATTTAGATTTTTAAAGCAAAACATGTTATAAAAGGCTTGGCTATCCTGGCACTCACTATGTAATGTAGATCAACCTAGAACTTGTCATCCTCCTGACTTATCTTCCAGACTGTTGGAATCACAGACACAAAGTTGTGTGTCTTATTATTTGGTTCAAGTTGACAGTGAAAAGAAATCCCACTGTGCCACAATGACATGTTTTTTTGAAGAGCTATAGATTAAAAATAGGGCCTTGTACATGATAAGGAAATACTCTACCATTTATCTATCTTCAAGTCCTCTTTTTACTTTTTTTCAGTCAGAGTCTTACTAGGGTGTCCTCGTCAGCCTTAAACTCACTCTGTAACCCAGACAGATCTTGAAGTTACAGTTCTCCTGCCCAAGCTTCCCAAGTATCTGAGATTACAGGTCTGCACCACTAAACTTGGCCACAATGATGTTTAACATTAAATCTAACACTTGGCATTTCATCTATTAAGCAACTGTTGCTTGAACATGTACTATTTTTATTATCAGGCAAATGCTGGGAATATTAAAGAAAAAAAGCCACTGACTGTTTCTACGACATTAGCCAGGGAGTGTGGTGATATATTTAAGCAGAGGAAAATAATAAGGAAGAAGGTGATACATATACAATGAAATTATAGGATAGAAGAGTTATAGTTCTTCACATAATACCAAGTCTATGACTGGTACCCCCTAATCAAATGACAGATTAATAAGAGAAAAATAAACATCTATGTAAGTTTTATATGACATATGACTTGGTAATACTCTAGAATAACACCCCCAAACAACAGGTAAACTTGTACTGTATGATGAAGTATATAGTTGTAGAGAAATATGACTGTAGGCCAATAGGGTCTGATGGAGTGCTAATACACTGGAGGCAGGCCTGTTTGTTCCAGTTTTTTTTTCTTTTGGTGTTTCTGTACCTTTGAAATTACCACTGTTTTCTTTGGATTCCTCTTGATTTAACTTACATAACATACTTTAGAAGAAAGTCAGAAAATTCTTTTATGACCTGCTTCAGTGAAAATGGGTAACAGAATGTCTGAGAACCCTTACGTTTGTTCTTTCCTCAAATGTCAAGTCCCATATTTTAGGATAGCAAATCTTGAACCCCCTTTCAAGACCATAAATAAATCAGTATATTTATTTTAAATTACATCGCTTTCTAAAATGTTTCAAGGTAGAGTATTTGATGTCATGTATAACTTATAAGGCAGCATATATTATAATTTGGTCAAATGAAAGGGGAGAAAATAAAGGGAGACAAAAATGAACATGGTAATGTGGTTGAGACAAGAAATACTTCTTAACATGTATTGTTCACTTGCCACAAATATCTTATATTTGTAAGAGCTTTTTAACAGACAGTGCCCTCCATGGGAAGCATTATTTTAAAGGAACTTTGTTTGAGTTGTGGAGGCTGATAGAGTCTGAGTCTATCCATAGCTCAAGTCCAAGCTTGATCATTTGTTAACTACATTAAGTAAGATGCTCAGGTGCTGAGATGCTGCACGTAAACATACTATGGCTCTAATATAAGAGATGTTTATTTCTTGGTTGTAAAATAACCCAACCAAGATGACTTGATATAATCAGGATTCTTTGTTCTTTCTTAGTGCTCTGAGCCTAATATACTGCTTTTACTCCCAATGGCCATTCATTCTCTACATTCTAGCAGTTGAAAAGAATGACAGACAGAAGTAGAGTTTATAACACTTTGCTTTAAGGTTCTGATCTGGGAGTTAGACATAGTTTCTATTACATTCCATTTTCTAAAATTTAATCTTACAATCATATTCACTGAGAAGAGATGCAGGAAACTAGTCCTTGCTTCTTTTTCCTTGTTTTTTTAAGCCACAATCTTGCTGCAGAGCCCAAGATGGCCTTGACTTTGTAGTCAGTCTGTTCAGCCTCCCAAGTGCTGGGATAAAAGGCATATGTGGCTGTGCTGTCTCAGGAAGGTAAAGTCTTTAGTTCAGAACATTCCCAACTGAGACTTAAAAAGGAATAGGAGAAGGCATATGAGGAAAAAGTGTGCTCTGCCATATTGTCTGTGTTACTTCAAAAACCTTTCATAACTTTTCTGAGTTTTGTCATCAGAAATTCAAAGAGGATTATAACCTTGGTGACAGCCACAGGTCCAAGGTTATTTCTCTAGGAAGTGACAAAGATAATGAATGCCAAAACTCCGTTAGGAAGAAGTCAATTCCAGTCTTCCATAGCACAATAGGGTGACTGTCACACATAAACTATGCTGAAAGCGGAGAATTTGTGAGTCTCATCACAAAGAAACAATAAATATATAAGGAGATGGAACTACTATTGGATTCTTATGCACTGTGTGTGTATGAAATTATAACACTGTGCCACATATATATGTATAATATGTGTCAACTAAAAAATATTAACAAGAGATATTCTGACTAAGAGCCAAAGTACTACATTAGGTACTACTGCATTACTAGTCATGATGTGTAGTGACAGTTTGGGGTCTACACAATGTGCCTTGTAATTATTATTAGTAGTACTGTTATAATTAGGGCTTTCTAGAGAGGTAGAACCAGTATGTTACATATATAGATACTAGAGAGGAGCCCTATAAGGATAATGTGTTTATGGCAGCAAAGAAGTAACAGCACAGTCCATCTATGATGGGCTAGAGACTCCAGGATTCAAGTAGTATGACTCAGTCAAATTCCAGAGGCCTAGAACCAGGGAAGCCAATAGTATAAGTCATCTTAGACAGAAAGGCTACAGACAAAGGGATCCTGGAAGGGGTGATACCCTGGTGTAAGAGCAGGAGTACAGAGGTTGGTAGGTCGATAGTCCTGATGTCCAAAGCATCTGAAGAAAATTCTCGTTCAAAAATTAGTCTTCTGCATTTTCATGGCCCCAAGAGATCAGATAGGTTCTTCCACACTGAGGGTAGATCTTCCTTATGTCGTCCACTTAGACTCACAGGATAACCTCTTTTGGTAACACCTTCATTCTCACTCTCAATAATGTCTCTAGAAATTCCTTAATCTGTCTGACACTTAAAAATTTTCATCACAGATTCTAAAGGTGAACAAAAAGGGAAACAGGCAAAATGAGTTGCAAGCAGATAGCCCAGTATGAATAAAGGTCCCAGAGCTGGTATTGTGTTACTCGAACATGACGTGGCAATAAGAGTAGCAGATTACACTGGAGTCAGCCAGGGCTCAGGGCTGAAAAACAAGTGGCTGCATAGTTGATGAGTTTGGAATGTGTGGATTTTGTCTTGCCACTGCTAGGAAAGCATTGCTATAATCAGCCTTATGTAAAAGGGGCTGTGTTTAGGCTGTAGTCTGAAGAACAGTTCGCACAGTGAGAGCAGTGCTGTAATCGAAGCACAAAGAAATTATATTCTGAGTTAGGGCAGTGGGAAGAAGAAGAGAGAGGTGGAAGCATTAGGACTTAGTAATTAGAAGATGCAAGGGAAGGGGGTTTCTGATGCCTAGATTTCTTATTTGCCTGACCAAGTGAATGCAGCCACTCTCTTTTTTGTAAGGAATATAGAATGGGAAAGTTTGGGAGAGATGAAGGAAAGCCCAGTTTGATGCAAGTTAGATTTGACAGTTCTGAAGGTATGCAGAGAACATTGTTAATGTGAATCTAAATAAAGGGTCACTGAACTTTTTCTTAAACAACTATATTGTAAACAGTTTAGGATTTGGAGGCTACAGAACTCTGTCACTGGCCAATGTTGACTATAGAGTAGGGAAGCAACCATATGTAAACAGGAGTGGCTGTGTTGTACTAACTGCTTATAAAAATAGGCATTTAGGCCCATTGCCTATAATTAATTCAGCCCTGGTGTAATGATTAGATTTCATTTATTGATGAGTTGATTTATTCACAAAACATAATTGTCTATCATCTATCATCCAGCTGTCAAAGCTGTCTGTCCGTCTGTCCATCCATCTATCCATCCATCCATCCATCCGTCGATGCCTGTGTGTGAGGTTTTGTTTAGACATAGGAAATAGGCAAATCTATATAGACGAGAATAGGTTCAAAGGATAGCAAGGGAAGTAGTAGGACTTAGAATCCACTGCAAAGATTTTTGGCTTTATTGTCTATGACAAAAAGTGGATTTTCAACAGTGGATTGACATGATTTTACTTATTTTTTATAGGAATATTCTAATTGTTGTGGGAAAAAATAGCTATAGTAAACAGAAATAGAAGAAGACTAATTAGAAAGCCATTTTATTTTATTATATTTAAATTTTATTTATTCATTTATTTATTTAGTCATATAATATATCCTGTTCATGATTTTCCCTTTCTCTAATTCTTCCCAGATCCTCCCCACTTCCCAACTGACTTAACTTAATGTTCTTTCTTTCTGTCCTTTCTATCAAAACAACAATAACAAAAAACCCAAAAATCAATTCAAATCAAACAAGAAACCAGTAAGACAGAAAATGGCAAAGGAAAACAAAGTAAAATAAAAAGCCACAAAAAATGTACTTTGCTTTGTGTTGGCCAACTCTAGGCATGGGGGCTACCCTGGAATGTTTTTGATATAACAGTGACACTATTGAAGAAAACTGATTTTCCCTTCCCCAGCAGATATCAATTGCAATAG